TTTGTTTTTATAGTTTAATTAAAAAAATTTAAGCCAATTATCATCAAATTACGAATTATTATAGTTAACGTCATATCTAATTGTTAATAATTATAATTCTTAAATATTCCAAGACCACGATCAAAATATTTTTCATGYGCAAATAATAAATAATAATATTTTAATAAATTAAAAGTCCCCGTCAAACGTGACGTTTAGGCAATYAAATGAACAGTAAACCGGGCGCACACTGTCATAGTAATAAAATTACTATCGCCTTGTCTAGAGCTGTTGCGATAATAATATTTCTTGTACAATAATAATAATAATACAAGAAACAAAACAACTCTAGCCCGATTTTAAAAGAATTATTGCTGACAAATAATAATATTTAGCGCGTTGCCATAGGCATTATTATAATAATATTTTATAGTCAATATTAATATTGTTATCTCCATGAGTCCAAATAGTGTTATCTCGGTTCGACGATTTCACATATTTTGTTTTTTTTTGCCATCTATATCTTATAATAATTTCTTAGATCTCGGTAGTCGGTAATTCGGTATTAATAATAATAATAATAATAATAATTAATAATACATTAATACTGCAAAAAATCTATAGTGGTTAACAACTAATAAAGATTAAAAAATAAATAATAAAAAAATAAAGATTACTGATTAGTACGCCATATTATACCATCCAACTATGCTCCAAGGTCACAGGTGTACTMATAAATCGCGAACGTGTCATAAAATCAAACGGCATTCAAACCGCTCATGTGATGGTCGCCTGGTCGTGACACAGCGAATCGATTGTCGTATGTGCTGCACTACGATCGCCGAGGTGCCGTCCAACCATAGATAATAAATACATAATTATCGTCTATGCGTCCAACCGTGTCGGCCGACCGTTGCCAGTCGTACTGAGTCGTCGGGGTCAGCCTCTTGAGTCGGTAGTGCTACAACTCGTTTTGCGCCGACGACGGCTGAAAGGCAGGTACAACGATTTGGATTTTTGGTTACCTGTTATTGTTTTTGATTGTTGTGATGACGACAGCGCTGTTATCGATGTTGTTGCAGCCTCGGCCCTCGAGCCCTCGTGACCGGCAGTCGGTCAATGTTCATTGTTACACGATCGTTCGGCCGATGGCGGTCGCCGCCCGTGTTGTCGATCATTCGCCACCGCATCTCCGATCACAGCCGTCCGTCGCCCCAGTCGATTATCAGTAGACTCTGCGGCACTAAACCTCACACACGTTCCAGGATGTCGTTGCCCCGTCTGCCCGCCGTCAGTTTCGTCTCGCCCAGAGTGCTGCGGGTGTTGGGATGCAATCCCAGTTTCATGACGCTACAGGGTACGAATACTTATGTGGTTGGCACGGGTCAGCGGTATGTTTTACGCAGMAGCAAATCGACTATAGACGGGTTTAGATGGTTTGTTTGAACGGTTAAAATTTCTTTGGTCCATCCACACACCTATATTAATTTCTGGGTTCTTCATGACGTATTATAATGTCTTTAAAGTCTAGATATTTCTCAAATTTATTTCTAACGCTTACTATCCAGATGTATTTTATGATCATAAAGATCTTAAGAGTATGTAACAGTGGAATTTGTTGTCTCCGTCTGACCAGTGCATAATATAGCAAATTTACGTTCAGCAGAACACTTGTAGCTCCTTTAGTTTAAAAATTACAGTGAATCGAYCATCGACCTATTATAAAACTTGATGGTAAGAACATTATCTGTGTTTGTACGTTGGTTTTTTTACGATAATTCAATTTTTAAGTGAGTTATGAGCATTTTTAATGTACTGTATATTATATGCTCATAACTCGCTTAAAAATTGAATTATTGTTGAAAACCAACGTACAAACACAGATAATGTTCTTACCATCAAGTTACATAATAGGTCGATTCACTGTAATTTTTCAACTAAAGGAGCTACAAGTGTTCTGCTGAGCGTACATTTGCTATATTATGCACTGGTAAGACAGAGACAACAAATACCAACTGTTACATACTCTTAATACCTTTTTTTAGTAGTTTTAACTGATAATTAGATATTTCACCCTATAGTCCAGTTGATGCTTAGCATAAAAAAAAGATAGGTACCTAAAAACTGTATTAACCTTTTAAATTTGAAATAACTACTCTCTGTTACATTTAAATCAGTCAGTACAGTAAAATATTATCAATCTTATTTCCGTTAGGAAAATACCGGCATTAATGAAAAATTCAACCATTATTAAATTCTTTACTAAAATTATCTGTGACTAATTATAAAATCGTACTAATTACTAATAAATTATAAAATTGTATCTCTCGGAACTTCATTTTGAAATTCATTATGGTTCTGCTTTCTATACAGCAGTTATAAACAGTGTTCCATGAGATTGAATTTTATTCCCTATTCTATTTAACATTTATACATCTGACCAATCAACCACTCTTAATACATCAGTAGCTGWTTATGGTGATGACAAATTAATAATTTCCATCAACAATGATCCTTTCACTGCCACTAAAAATCTCCAAAATCATCTTCTTCATATGTAAAATTGGTTCATTAAGTGGTGTTTTAAAGTTAACCAAAGCAAATTCACACTACTTTCACCTTCAAACAGGCTCAATGTTATTACTTGATTACTCTCCTACTGTTAAATATCTTAACCTAACATTCAATCAAAGACTTATTTGGGACCACCATATAAGTAATAAGTTACCTTTTTAAACAAAATTATGAATTTTTTTTTAATATCAGCCGTCTGAATTTCTTTCGAGGGCCGTAAGCATGACTATAATATGCACCTAATCTTTATTATATTTATGATTATTTACACGATAAAGTAGTAATTTACAAGTACCAAATGCCTCAAATTTAGGTTCCTCTGGTATTATTTAATATTTTTATCCAATTAAATAAGCAATATTTGAGTCTTATAATTAAAAATGTATTTAGGTTTTATATATATTCTAGGCAATCTGTTTAAAAAATTTTACTCATTTTTGGAATATATTAAGCTTCTAATTAAAAATATAATAGTCCAGATGTGCAATCAGTTCAATCCTGGTTGTATTATTGTAATAATCTAATAACACTATCTAGGTACCTTTTAAAAATAAATTGTTTTTGTCATTATATTTAGCAGTGTACACACCAGAGCATGCACAGACTGTATGCTTCATACACTCATATGTGCTTAGTATGGACGTCATCACATACAAAAAGCTTATATGTGAAATAAATCTGGGGTAAACATAGTGATTATCACGACGCACAATKAACACTTTTGTGTGCTTGATATACCATTCACAGACCATACTGTATAACTCACAACATAAGCACACATGCTCGGTCTGTGTGTGCTCTAGTGTGTACACGGCTTTAGACTTTTACATTTTTGAGTGTTATACTAATCCTTGTATGTAAATTAAAATTAATTTAATTTATAATTACATATTAACCTAATTTTTCATTCTAATGTTTTGTTACAGACGTATTTTAATTGATGCCGGGGAGCCAAATTTTCCAGAATATATAAAAAATCTTCGAGAAACGATGATAAAGTATAATTTTCAGCTTGATCATGTTATAATATCACATTGGCACTCAGATCATATTGGTGGGGTAAAAAATGTGTTGGACATGATTGATAATAAAAATGGTAATATATTAAAAATGTACCATAGAAATAAAATGTTATAGAATATTTTAAGCTAAATTACCATGAACCATGTGAGTAGGTTGCTCCTTGTATTTAGCAATTTTTTCCATGTATTATTATTATTAACATAACACCAATAAAAAATAGCATGATATAAATTATAAATAAAGTACTTACAACTCTCAGAACTCTGCATATATCATACATATATCTTATCAAAAGAAGAGCACAAAAAATATTCTGACTTTTAACTAGGTACTCATCCTAATCATAATATGTATACTCAGCAGGCATTTAAAAAGAAGCCATTATACTATTTGAGCGAATTTAATTGCTGTCTAGATTATATAGAAAATCAAATATAAAGAATTATTATAATAAATATGTCAGCAAATAAAAAAACAATCTTGATAATGACCAAAAGAATTTCCTAGAGCTATTGATAACAATTTGTGCTTTTAAAATTATGTTGTGTAATGTGTATTATTATTTAAAATAAATCTTATCAAATTTTAATATTTTTGAAAAATCTTATGTATCAAATAGTAAACATGTATTTTATTCATTATTATTATTTCATTGGTTTTGCACCCATTTGTCGTTGTCTCTGTCTTACAAGTGCGTTACGCACAAATAACAAATTTATTTTCAGCAGATCACGTTTATCTCCATTAGTTATATGTGTTCATATGTAGGGTTTTTACAATGTTTCAATTTTTTAGCAAGTTTTGCGTATGTAATATAAATTTAAAATACACATAACTCACTTAAAAACTAAACCATAAAAATTCAATATACACACACAGATAGTTCTTTTACCTTTAAATTTTATAAGAGGTCAATTCACTTTAATTTTTAAATTAACAGTGCTGAATGTAATTTAAGGCGTCCTCTTAAATAGCTACAATTTGAATATTTAAGTCTGTACTTTTTTTTTTACACCACACTAATAAATTACGGTTCTAAAATATGACTATTCTATAAAAGTAACATTTCTTAGATTATTATGTGATATATTTTTATAGAAACAAAATGATATATTTTTATAAGAGTATAAATTAATACTAATAAATTATATTTCAGAATGTAAAGTTTGGAAGTTCAATCCAAAAATAGGCAAAAAACATGAATACAACTTTCCATTAAATTTTGTTGAAGATAAACAAAAGTTTCATGTTGAAGGTGCTACATTAATGTAATTATTGAATTTTCTTCCCATACTAGTAAAATTGCATAAAAAATTATAATTTTTCTTTTTGTTATTTTTAGAATTCATCATACACCTGGACATACAACTGATCATATAGTTATATTTTTGGAAGAAGATAATGCATTGTTTTCTGCTGATTGTGTGCTTGGAGAGGGAACTACTGTATTTGAAGATCTAACAGAATATTTAAAATCATTACAATTGATTTTAGACTTAGATCCAACTGTTATATTTCCTGGTCACGGCTCTGTTATAAAAGTAATCAAACTATTTAGATCACATATAATGTTAAGGTTCTTATTATCAGAGGTTAAAACTTCATGGATTGTACATTTCTTAGGAAGTTGCATATTCAAAATTTGATGCATTTAAGTTCAATTTTTAATACATAAGACTCAAATGCAAAAGTATGTGGTGGATTTTGGTTTTGTAAATTTTATCAAATTGAAGTGATTTTTAATATTTAAAAATGTTATACATACTAWTGTATATTTTTTTAATAAACCAACATAAAAAGATGTCATACTTTAAAGAAATTATTTTTTTAAACACGAGTTTCCATGCATTATGTGGTCACCTACACTTTAAATCATATAGATTTAATAATTGTTTTTTTACTATGTATATTACAAATTAAATTAAAAATATTTTATTTAATTTTTGACCATGCATAGGTAATACATAGATATTTTTGAATAATTGTGATTTTTTTAAACGTATCTTCCCATAAAAATTCATTTTTATAAAAAATAAAAAAATAAAAGCATATATAAGATTTTCTTTGTGAAATATATTTCAAGCTCTGATTATCAGATTGAACTTATGTTCATATTGTGTGCTATATTTTATTTTTTTTWAAATGATTTAAAACTGGAAATTAATGAGTTAATAGGTTAAATTTAAAGTAAATTTTAATATGTTAACTCAACTTACTAGCTTGATGTTCTAAAAAACTTAACTTGAATTAATTTTTCTCCATGTTAATCTTAAATTTAACTTATAATCTATTAAATATTATTTTGATCTTAATTTTCAAACTAAGCATCAAAATATTTTGTTTATTACTGTTAATAGTTTATAAGTCTGTCGAATATAGAAAATATTATAAACATTAAATAAATTTAAAAAAAGTGTGAAATTGGGTATCACTCTGCTGTATAGTAGAGATGGAAACTAGGTCACTATAATGGATGTATTAAATTTGAATACAATGACAGGTATCATTGTACATGAAAAACGATTCTGAACAGAGATGATTTATCACTCTAGGATATATTATATTACCTATATTTAATTTATAATATATTTAATACTCGCACAATATTTAAATATAAATTTTAATCACTCACAAAATGTTTTCTATATTGACTCTGGAGTTTTTATTTTTACAGTTATTCTAAGAAAAAGTTATAGAGAACATTGTGTAAGGTTTTTTAACCTTAGGCATAAATCACAACAATTTTATGAATTTTCAACTTCATAATTTTATACAAATTGTCGCGATTTTGACATATTTCATAAATATTTGTACTTAAAATGCTTATAAACAAAAATTGTGGCAAATTTTAAAGATTTTTGGATAGCCACATGTTTTTTATATGCATTTCAAAAGAAAAAAAAAACTTTAGAAATATCATTGTAATTTGTTCAGAATCTAAAAATTTCTATTATTCCTGGAGTCCTATATTTAAAAAGGTCAAATGTATTAAATACAATATATTTATTTGAAAATAAAATATTTTCTATGAGTTACTGGAAAAATTTTAAATGAAACAAGTACTATCATAACAAATATTTATGTTTATATGTATTTATATATCGTTATATAATAAAATTAAAATATAGATAAGGTGGCTCTTTTTTTGAATATTATTGAAATTATGTTTGTTGTTGATTTATAAACAGCATATGCATTACTATAATGATACTGTATTGCATGAACAATCATTAAAGATTTGACAAATTAATAATAAGCTAATGGTGGTTCCTTAAACATAGTTTAGTGGATTATGGTTGATCTATTTAATTTTTTTGAACCCATTACATTATATATTTTCTATGCAGTTGATGGCATTAAAATCTTTAAGTATGCCAAGTCTTATAAATTAAGTAAAATATGCAAACATTTGTAGTATATATTTTTGTACTTTAATTGTTTGAATCATGAAATGAATTTGCATCGAATTMGATTTTGAATATGCAGCTTTCTAAAAAATATTTTAATCCAATAATTTCTGAGCTCTGTTAATAATTACTAATTATATAGGGAAACATAATTTATAGTAGTCAATTAAGTTGATGAATTTTTTTAACTTAATTAAAAAAAAAAAAAATAGTTATTTTATCTGATACTATAAAAGATTGCATAAATTGTTGCCCAGACTTGAAAAATATACTTTGTTTTATGCATTTTTTTTTTTTAATTTCAATAGTTATTTTATAACAATTTTAAATTGAATGACTTATAATAATGTTTTATTTCATTAGGATCCAATTGTTCGAGTAAATAATTACATTAAACATAGATTAGAAAGAGAAGTAGAATTGTATAASTTGATCAATAAAAGTCCATCCAGATCATTGTCTGTAGAAGAAATTGTAAATGAAATGTATAAGGCAAGTCTACATTTTATTTTATAATTATTTGAATCATACATTTTATTTGTGTATATTATATATTTATTTATTTTCAGGTTATTCCCAATGATTACAAGAAAGTAGCATTGTATATTGTAAAAAATCATCTTGCTAAATTATTGAAAGATGGAAAAGTGATTCTAATTGACAATAAATGGAAAATCAAAGAACAATGAAATGTGCAATTAAATATTTTTTTAATTTATATTATTATAAATTAAGGTGTTAACAAAATTTAAAAAAAAAACTTGTTGTAATAGTGATAAACTTGTTTAAATTTTAAATTTGTATAAGATAACAGTTAAGACTAGAGATCGAATTATATGGAATAAAGGTGTATAAAATAGGGCGCATGTAAACTTCACCGATTGCGACCTTTTTAGACCTTTTTTCATGTAAATTCCACCGGTACGTTTATTTTACCTGAAAAAAAAATGTAAACTCCACCGGTATGTTTTTTCATAGCAGTACCAAGTCAATTTTTCAATTTTTTTTTTTTCAATAAAGTAATAAATATATTTTAATAATAAATTCCAAATTAAAATAACAAATCGTATAAAAAAATTAATATAAATGGCATTTTTAAGGTCATTTTTTGAGRACATTTTTGGCTAATTTTTAGAGCATATTTGTTTGGTTTTGAGTATATTTAAATCCGGGCCCTAATTATAATATTATATCTATTGTATTTAAATACAATAATTATAAAAATCAAATAGAAATAATAGAAAAATATATAATTATTAACATTACGTAAGTAATACGCGTACCTACATAATTTATGTAAGGATTTATTATTTATATATATTATATTCAGATACTTATATCTTATTTTACACAATATTAAAAAAATAATTTAATAATAATTARATATCTAATAGAGCTTTTGTAAAGAGATGTATATTTGGATTTTTATATGGAATTTACGTGCTTTCAGTTCAAAAATACGTATCGGTGGAATTTACATGCTATAAATCCAACCCTAAAATCGATTACCTGTAAATCGGTGGAGTTTACAATCGCCCATAAAATATGATACATACATAAATTAATGGAAAAAGTGTYCAGTTATGCATAAGCATAATAATGAAATAATCAATAATACAACTACAATGAGTTCTGCTTATGTGATCACGTGTTTATTGAATCAATCGTTAATTGGAATTAGATAAGATAAACCCAAACAACATTTTATGTTATGAATGTTAAATTGAATTTTTAATAGAATGTACCGTTTATTTGAATCACATATTAATATATTTTATCGATTTTATGGCTATTCAAACTAATTATGTTAGGAGCTACATCTGCTATAAGTTTTAAGTATATTATTGTATTTTAAACTTGTGTATTTCGATATGGATCCTATTTATGATTGATGTTCTGTTTAATATTTTTTTTATTACGTTGGATAAATGTAAAGATTTATTCTTAAAAGGAAAAACATTTACTATTTTGATTAGTTGGAAAAATGTCTGAAATATAAGTCAAACTAATTTTGTAAACTCTTCAAATTAAATAGAACAAATTTTCAAATATCTTAAGCAATTTATTTTAATGAAAATAAAAAGAAACAAGGGTTTCAATAACACAATCGATAGTTTATTTTATTTTTTTTGAAGTTTACGTATAAATAAAGAATTATAAAAATAATGAATCACAATAACTGTCATCACATTTAGTAAAATTAACTGTACAACTAAAATCAAAAATTAGTAATCTACATTTTTTTCTTCTGATTTTAATAGAAAATATTATTATAAAAATAATGAAGTTTTTTAAACTTAAAAATAAATAGCACTTGTAATTATTAATTTGAAATCTGTAGTTTTTCAATAAAATAATATATTAGTATACACTAATTTTATACAAAATTATATTTTATGTTTTTTTTACWAGGTAAGTGTGTATGACAAAATATGAAATGATAAAAAACTAGACCTTTTAGTATTTTGCATAATAATCTGTTATAAAAAATTAAATAAAACTGTTTCTTATTTTAACTTTTACATTTTATCTATATACATACACCTATAAATTAGTAATTAACTATCAAGTTATAACTTAGTTTATAGGATCTCATTATTATTATAAACGATTACAAATTAATAATATTGAAGATTTAAATATTATGCTTATTTATTATGTGTGTAAGAAAAATCAAAAATATAATGTACATGCAATTCACATTTAATTAAGATCTCTAGTTAAAATATAAAATGTTATGTATAGATATTTTACAGTATGTTGATGTATTAAAAGAGTATTAAAATCATTTATGGTGTTTGTTGAATTAAATGTTTTTAATAATATTGTTGTAAGGCTTTACATATTAAAAGAATATGAAAGTGAAATAATAGTAAAAGTACAATGGCACATATGCTCCAACCAAGGTGGATTTATTTATTATTTATTTATTATTTTATTTATTTATTTATTTATTTTAAATCCACCTTGGCTCCAACTAAGATATTAAAGTGTACAAAGTCTACYTCTGTGGTCACCGACTAGACTAATTTAATTACTTAATATGTATCTTGAGGAGGTATTTTCCTAGAACGGAGTCAGGGTTGCCAATAATAATAATAATTATATTATTCTAGTCTTTTTATTTTGTTTTTACAATCCTTAGATTGGTTAAATGATTTCTATGGCTTTCCACTTGTCTCTTTTAGTTCCTTATAATTGGTTTTCCCTATGTCTTCTATGATCTGTTTCATAAATGGTGTTCTTGGTCTATCTCTTCCAGCTTTTTCTTCTATCTTTCTTTCTGTTTTCGTTGTTATCCATTCATTGTTTCTCATAATATGTCCGATCCATTTTTCCTCCTTTCTCTGATTATCTTTAATATTGTTTTTTGTTTGTTCATTCTTAGGTATACTTCTTAATTTTTAACTTTCCCAGTCTAGGGAATTTTTAGTTCTTCTCCAACACCATGTTTCAAATGCTTCAATCTTTTTTCTTTCTGTTTTGAGTATTGTCCATGTTTCTGCTCCGTACAGTTTATTATATAAGTACTCTTTATAAGAGTTTCCCTGGTAATTAAGCTAACAGTGTTTGTCGTTAATAGGTGCTTCTTTTTGTAAAATGCCTGTTTTGCTTGTGCTATTCTGCTACTTATGTCCATTTTGCTTCTTCCATCATGTGTTATTTTGTTTCTAGTCTTGTCCGTTATTATTGAACAGTAATATAACTAATTTTATTTGTTGAATAAATTGTATATTATTATTTTAGAATAATTAAAAAAACATACTTTTTTTTTATCATATTATGTGCTTTTATAACGGATAGTGTAGGATTTTCTTAATTGTATGCCTTATTTATGTCTACTGTTTTTGATCTATAATGAATAGGTCATTTGCTGGAAATTGTTTTAACAAACAATACATGAGAAATTTTTGCTTGAAAAATGTTTATTAAACTAATTAAGCTCCAATAGGCAATAATACAGTTAACAACATTTTTATTTATATATTTGAAAACAATTTGTGAAGTGTTACTTACATCATTTTCAGAGTATATTATGTTGAGGTGATAATCTATATTTCTTATAAAGTTATAACTGTATTAGTATATTATGTATTATACAGGTATTATTAAGAGAATAAATAGGTATATTTTATAGGATTGTATTTAATATATTGATCTTGTGTTCTTGTCTCTTGATAATTTAAAGTCATGCTTATACCATAAACATAGACAAATATTAGTTTATTACATATTATGTACTCTTTAATCTAGTTAGATTAGTTGTGTCTAGCTTTATTGCATTTTGTTCATATTATTATCCATCGTGTATTGATAATTTTGATGGATTGACAAATTTTGACATGATGATACCTATTATTGCATACCCAATAGTTAAGTAAATTGTAAGAATTAAGTAATTGTATCATATTAGTTGAGTTGTTTCATATTTTTGTATACTTTTTTACTTTTTGTGTTACTTACTATGCATAGTCGTTGACTCTCTTTGTATGTATTTACTATATGCAATGAATTTTAATGTTAATTTTTTGTGATGTGTAGGAGTAGCAGTATTTTAGTAGTTGATACAATTTGATATTGTATAAATAAACTCTTTATTGATAATTTGTTGTGAAACCGTATTAGATAACATTTAATCCCCAGTGGTTATTGATTATAGGTAACTACTAACTACTTGACGTTTGGACCTAAAAAGTTTTAAATCATTACATAAATCAACTGAATATCAGTATATTAATTATTTCATGGACAAGTCACAAGTTATGAGGTAGGCACCTAGTTATATCTTATGTGCTTTATCATTTATATATTTTTTATATTCAAACAGAATCCTAATTATAAAACAGTACTTAACGTTAAAATGTAAAAAAAAATAGTACCTACCTACCTATAAGTATTTAAATATAGGCTAAATTTATTCTTCTATTATAAGAAGCTAACTTCTCTAAATAGTAGGTATCGCATTTTGTAATTCATTATTCAAAGATTTATCAGTGGTATAACTACACAAATTTTTGACTATTTATAATAATGACTACCTAGGTATCTACCATATTTGTTGAGGTTAATAAGCCCGACTTGAAATTTTGTAATATCACACTAATTTCATTATAATCAATAATTCTAATAACGGTGTTGATATAAAAAGTAAAATGAAAAATTGTGKTTGTTTTAATGATTGAAACAAACCATTTTCAGTGGGTACCTATTTCTAACTGATCCATGTGAGGTAATAATGTGAACAATATGTTTTATTGTGTTCATAGCACTTTGATAAAATGGTTTTTACCTTTTACCTTAACGTTTCAAACTTTTAACTTTTGCATTCCATCTAGTATTCGATAATTCAACAAAATGTAAAGGATTTTTTCCAGGATTAAATAAATCACTTTACCTACCCATCTCATTAACCCATTCCCACGTATGCGTACAAGCACGGCTTGAATGGTACATATAACTATAAATGCACCGCACCACCTGCAGGCCGCGTCTTGGAATCGTGACATTAATTTCTTTAAATAATTAAATATAAATCCCTCAAGAAGTTGAGGGGTGGGAGTAATTTTCCCTTTGTCCCCTCCCCCACTGTAAATACACCACTGTCTACCTAGTTAGTCCATTGTCAGAATAGTATATATAAGAGCTTCGTAAAAGTAAATCACATTGTAAAAGGTAATTTGGTGATCACATACATTTGCGGAATTCCTATTTGGGATTTTTTCGTTCATAAGTTGATGTCTGTGACTGCAGGGTGTGGCCCGATGTTTATACATTCAATTGCGTTCGCGCTTTGAATGTAGGTACTGTGCAGTCCGACGCTGCTTGTTTTTTTTTTTTTTTCGGCAAAAAAATCCTCGCCACACGCCCACACATATAATACATG